ACTGCAGCAGCAGCAGCAGCAGCAGCAGCAGGAGCAGCCAAGCAACCTGGCTGGAGCAGAACAGGGGCTCGCAGGAGCGGCAGAGCGGCGGACAGGGGTTGCTTGCAGGGAGGAGGGGAGTGAGTTGTAGAGCGTCGCCGCGCAGAGGCAACAGTCGTGTCTCTTGCTTTTACCTCCGCCACTCGCATCGTGCTGTTTCTAACCCTCCCTTGTTGGTGCCGCTTGTGTGTGCGTGTCTCTCTCCCCAACCTTTGGGTGCCTCACGGCCTGCGAGCATGGGCAGCCGGAGCAACGGAGCAACCTGGAGCAACTTGGAGCAGCAGGCGTGAAGGGAAGGCGTGGTGCAGGTGTGGCAGAGCAGCGGACAGAGTGTGGTACGCGCCAGGGGGTGCTTGCAGGAGGGAGGGAAGTGAGTCGTAGGGCGTCGCCGCGCAGAGGCAAGAGTCGTGTCTCTTGCTTTTACCTCCGCCACTCGCCTCGTGCTGGTTCTAACCCTCCCTTGTTGGTGCCGCTTCCATGTGCGTGTCTCTCTCCCCATGCGTGTGTGTGCCTCACGGCCTGCAAGCATGGGAAGCCGGAGCAACGGAGCAACCTGGAGCAACTTGGAGCAGCAGGCGTGAAGGGAAGGCGTGGTGCGGGAGTGGCAGAGCAGCGGACAGAGTGTGGTACGCGCCAGGGGGTGCTTGCAAAGGGGAGGGAAGTGAGTCGTCGGGCGTCGCCGCGCAGAGGCAAGAGTCGTGTCTCTTGCTTTTACCTCTGCCACTCGCCTCGTGCTGTTTCTAACCCTCCCTTGTTGGTGCTGCTTGTGTGTGCGTGTCTCTCTCCCCGTGCGTGTGGTGCCTCACGGCCTGCGAGCATGGGCAGACGGAGCAACGGAGCAACCTGCAGCAACTTGGAGGAGCAGGCGTGAAGGGAAGGCGTGGTGCAGGAGTGGCAGAGCAGCGGACAGAGTGCCTGCATCAACTCAGGGGTCACCAGTGCCTGCATCAGCGGCTGGATGATAGTAAGCACACAACGATTTGTGAACCGATCAGCTAGTATACCATTTTTCCATCAAACGTGCTTTCTCTTGTTCGATTTTCCACAGTGCCTTGTGGTGTGTCACCGCATGTTAATGACACTCTGTTCACCTCCCAAACTCCTCCCTTCCTGTCCTCTCTTCTTCTCTGCTCTCCTCTCTTCCATTCCGCCTATCCAGCACCAGTAGCACGGGCACCAGTGGTGGTAGCAGCAGCAGCTGCAGTGGTGGCAGGGTAGTTGCAGCATCATCAACCACTGCAATTCTTGCGGGTGCAGCAATGAACGGGTGATTACAGCTTTCCCTAGCGCGTCCCAGCTCCCTCAAGTGTTGCCTGGTTCTTGTCTAGTGGTTTGATGTCCTTCTCTTCTCCTTTACTCCTTGCGTTGCTCGTCCTCCGCCTTTTCTGTGGCCTATTGTTACGGTGCCCTGATCTCCCTCCCCTCTCCATGTCCCATTGCTGTCCCTGCCAGCAACTGCGGGGAAAGCAGTGGCAGCAACAGCTGGTAGGTGTGAGGGGAGTTGCTGGCCATGCTTGCTTACAGTTTATCACCATCAGTCTGACATGAGAACAACGCACAAATAATCTTGTTGCTTCTATTCAGCTTCACTTGTGTGCTGGTTTGCGCTATTGCCACTTGTAAATGACTCCCTGCTCTCTTTCCTCCCCTTTCTGTCATGTCCCATTGTTGTCCCATTGGCTGGCTCTTCCGTGGTGGAGTGCAGGGCAAGGAAGAGGAGGACTTGTGAAGCGCCTCATGGCAGTGGCCCACCAGAATCTCAAGATGCGCCGCTGTGCTTGTTTACACATGCGTAGCTGTCAAGATGCGCAGCTTAAATGTTGCTTGGGTGTGCTGTGTTGTGCTGTGCTGGGCTGGGTTGTGCGTGGATATGGTAGAATGGTTGGTGGGTGGGGTGGGCATTGGATATCCTGGAAAGCGGCTGGGGCACAAACAACCAAGCAGGGCAATGAGTGTCCTCCTGCAGGTGCTGTGCCGCAACATGATGACTCGTGCCGTGCAGTGCTGTACCGTACTTGGCTGCTACGGGCCAAGCCCTCGTCCACGGCGCTGAGAGAGAGTGATGAGAGGCACACACACAGTGATGGGGAGGAAGTGGAAGTGCAGGACAAACGATTGCAGGACACGAGTTAGGCATCCAGATGGGGATGGCAGGGACTGACAAGAAACAGGGATTGCTTTCATTTCATGCAGCACAGGAATGGTCAGGACTCAGGAAGGTACTATGCAACACCTCATAGTAAAATAATGCAGCCGCTGTGACAAGGGCAGTAGCCGCAGGTAGCGTTGCCACCAGGTACTGGGCGCAAGAGCGTGTAATGGACGCTACCCAATTTGTCAGCTGCAGTATCGCCACATCCTCCCTGACATGGATGCTGTCTTCTGCTGTGGCTGCATGCCATGTCCAGCAGCTGCGGCCAAGATGAACTGCAACTTCTTACGGTATAAGCCATCAAGGGATGTCATTAGCAGCACCATGTGCAGAGCAGTAGAGGAGCAGAGAAGCACAAGACTCCACTCTCGTAGAGTTCTCTTGCTTTTATGGCTCACACCCTTTCTCTCACCCCCTTATCACTCTGCGCTGCTCATGATTGCCTCTGTCTTTCCCTTCGTCATCCTACACATTTTTACGGTACCAGCAGTTGTGGTGTGGACCTGGAAGCAAGCAGCGAGCGGCATGAGCAGAGCGACACTGGGGGCATTGCAGGTTCAGTGTCTGCAGCAGCTGTTACCTGTACAAGTTGGCCGTAACAAAATTATTAAAATGACAGCAAAAAGGCAGCGAGAAAGAGAGTTCACTTCTCGTATCACCCGCTTCCTCCTCTAACCGCCCTACTGCACCCACTAATTTCCTCTTCTCCCTTCTCCTCAGCGCCCCCCCTCTCCTCCTCTCCTCCACTCCCCACTCTTCCCACCTATCTTCTCCTCCAGCCTCACCCATTCAATCTCAATGCCCTTGCTCACCCCCTTGCACATGTCATAAACAGTTAGTGCCGCCACTGCAGCAGCAGTCAATGCTTCCATCTCCACCCCAGTCCCAGCCACCGTACTCGCCTCTGCTCTCACTGCCACCGCACACCGATCATGGTCCAAACTCAGGGTCACACCCACGTTCGATATAGGCACATTGTGGCACAAGGGGATGAGCGCGCTGGTGGCTTTTGCACCGTTGATTCCCGCGATCTGAGCCACTGTGAGGACGTCTCCCTTGGAGAGCTGATTGGAGGCGACTAGGGGGAAGGCGTGCGGGCCGAGGAGGATGCGAGCAGAGGCCACGGCTCGCCGGAGGGTGGGTGGCTTGTGAGACACGTCAACCATGGTGGCTTTCCCGGAAGCATCCACGTGAGTCAGGCGGGAGGTAGATGCTGCTGATGGTGGTGGTGGTGGTGGTGGTGATCCTGATGCTGATGTGTCATTGGTGCTTGATGTAGTAGTGGCTGCCATGAATGCACGTTGAGTGTTATTCACTGTATTGTGCCGTGTTTCCGTGTGGCGTGGGGAGGATTGGTAATGGGGAGTGGTTGAATCGGAGGAGGAGGGAATTGGGTTGAGTGAGGATGAAGGGCGAGATAACGTTGACTGTGACGCTGACGGGAAACTCGGTTGTGGTGGTGAGGGAGGGAACTGCGAGGGCGAGTGGGAGGGCAGAGGGTCGTCGGACGGCAGCATTCCGAAAATGGCTTCCATCTCCTGCTCGCGCGGTCCACGTTGGCGTGGTAGGGAGGGTAGATATGGCAGGGAGGGCAGAGAATGGTGGGCGCACGGGTGAAAATTGGGGATAGATGGCGGGATGAGTGAGCGGGAAAGCCGGAGAGCGTGACACGGAGGGGAGAGCGGCTAAACGAGTCACTCAACTAGAGCGTCGCCAGCTTTCTCAGCTGTTCAGCTGTTCACTTCATCACCTCATAATCCGTATCGGGTCTCGAGCCGCAAAGACCTGGAATGAAAAAGGGTAGTTTAAAGTTTACAATTTAGTGGTTGCGTAGACCTAAGTGAGACGGCAGGATAGAGGCACCGCAGCTGCTAAGAGCTTCCGACCTGGTTAAATTCGTCCACATCGGAGGTCGTCGCACCGCTGCCAGCTGCTGTTCGCAGGGATCTTATGCGTCGCCATTGCAACGTTGCAGCCGCCTCCTGCGACGCCGCCGCGCGACACACGACGTGTGCGACTCTGCGAAACATGTCGCAGAGGGAGATCGGACGCCTGACGAGAGTTGAATGGAGTTTGGGGAGAGATAGCTTCGCAACAGAATGATCCAACCCAGAGGGAAACACAAGGTTTGTACGCGTTGCAAACATGTAATCGGTGTAGCAAATTTGTTCAGCGGTAAACTGATCATATCGACCTTGGTTTCCCCAAAAAAGTCACTCGGTCATTTCTCTGGTCGGCGAGGCATATAAATTTCCGTGCTGTTGTTAGAAGGAACTACTCTATTCCAGCCGAGCCGAGGAGTTAGCAGGCGATAACGAAGCGATGCCAGGCAATAGCGAAGTGCGATATCAAGCAGCGTGCGATGCTAAACGATAACGACGAATGATGCTAGACGATAGCGACGTGTGATGCTATAGGGATGGCGATCGGCAACCAATCGACAGCGCAGGCAGGGGTACAACCTCCTCACGCGAACAATGCCCTTGTAGATTCCTTGTCTGCGGCTCCTCAACCCTCAAAGAATACGCGCCATAAGGCGAAGCTCGCTCCGTCGTTATCGACGGTGTATGCGGGAAACCTGGACTACTCGCTTACCAACAACGATCTGCACACGCTGTTCGGTGTATTCGGACAGATCGCTAAGTGAGTGTGTGAGAGAGTTCGAGTGATTGAGGAGCGAGTGTGGAGTGAGTGAGTGGGTGAGTGAGAGTACTTAAGTAAGCGCAGAAAGGCCGTGTGTGGTGGGTGAGGGTGGATAAGGACGTGACTAAGACGGGCGAATCAAAGCGCGAGGAGTGAGAGTGGAAGGATGGACATTCCAGAGTGTGGTGTTCCTCATGATGGTTTGATTTCAGAGGGCCTTAATCGTGCTCCCTTGCGTGTGCTTGTTGGCAGGGTGACGGTAATGAAGGACAAGGAGACTCGCGAGAGCAAGGGGGTGGCGTTTGTGCTCTATGTGCATAAAGAAGACGCTCTTAAAGCGGTAAGACACTTATGTCGTTTACGTTTTAGGCGGCTTTCAAAAGGGTTCGTTCTGCCATTGATGGTATTGTAATACGTTAGTAACATGGTATAGCTGTGTGGATGGGTGCGTTTCTGCATTTTTCACGACTGCATGTGTGCATGCGTGCATGGCAGGGCAGGTTGCAGTGATGCAAGGGAAGCGTCTGAACGGCCGAATGCTCAAAGTCAGCATCGCCAGCGACAACGGCCGGGCTGCTGAGTTCATTCGACGCAAGGTGAGTTCTCACAACCCAAAGCGCGATGGTGCATTGCTCCGATTGACTACTGTTTTTTTGTTCCAATTCTGATTCCCTTCTATGGTGTGACAACTTTTGAGGTTTTTGAGGCAGTAAGTCCCCTCTCTTCCCCCGGTTGCTGTCTTGTCTCCCCCAGGAGTACAAGGACAAGAGCCGCTGCTACGAGTGCGGGGATGCAGGCCACCTGTCATACGAATGCCCCAAGAACCAGGTGAGGGTTGCTCTGTCATCTGGGGGTTGCTCTGATGCTGTGCGGCACTGGTGCATCTACTGCAGCAGTGACGGTACAGGAACAGTGAATACAGTAAGCTGGTGGTTTTGTAACTCATTCATCTCGTACCTCATCCTCTCCATGCCTCATATTCACCCCCTCATGCATATCTCTCCTCCTCCCTCCATCAGCTAGGCCCACGGGAGAGGCCCACTCCAAAGCGCAAGCGCAAGAGCGGTGAAAGCAGTGAGGGGAGAGGAAGGGGGAGAGGAGGGGGAAGAGAAGGAGGAAGAGACGGGGGGAGAGAAGCAGGGAGCATGAGGAGGAGGGGAGCAGTTACGGGTGCATGTGGGAATGGAGGAGGGGAGGCGGAAGGGGGAGAGAATGAAGAGGAGGAGGAGGAGGATGAAGTGGAGGAGTTTGATGATGATGATTGGGCGTCTGCTGTGGCTCCCAGGTACCGCTGTGCTCTAGCCTCACCACTTGGTACCCCTAACCCCCACTGCAGTACTGTTACACTATAATACTGTTAACTGCCCTCACATTCAGTCACCCTTTATTCTTCTCAACCCTGACTCACCTGCAACCACCCACTCTCACCCCTTCCGCGCATCTCGCCCGCTCGCTTAACCCTGCTTGCCTCGCACATCCCGCTGTGCAGACAATGCCTGCAAACAGAGAGTTGTCAGTCAACGAATAGTCCTCCAGGTTGCTCACATACTCGTCACAAAGTTTGCTTAGAGCTCTCCCGTCACACACCCAGCCACAGAATCCACACATAGTGCCAGCAGTGCCAGCAGTGCAAGCACTGTCAGCAGTGCACACAAACTCATGCATTGATTGGTCCAGTTTGTCAACATACCCTTCACTTGTTCGCTCGCCCCTCTCATCTCCACCCGGGTGCAGGCAGAGCCTTCAAACGGTTGAAGCATCAATGGGAGCACAGCACAGCTCAAAGCTGTCGCTCAAGGTGTGATGCACGGTCGTCTCGCGGTGTGTGTACATCTGTTACATCTGTCATCTTGCAATTTGTGATGCGAGTCATCTGGTCTAGCATGGCATGGGTTGTAACTCGTACCATGACGTGCGGTGTGGTGCGTGCTCTGCATGTTGTGCTGTGCAGGGCCCAAAGAAGCATGGAGGCTACTTCAGCGATGAGAGTGGTGACGAAGATGATTAACTTGGGGTGACAGGGATTGAGAGGAAGACAATGATGGTTGATGCCTGACTGACATGCAGCATTTTCAAGCTGGCTGTGTAGCGGGGCCATGTGCTATCGTTTCATGGCTTGGTTAGCTGCCACAAGCTGGCTGTGTAGCGGGCCATGTGCTATCGTTTTATGGCTTGGTTAGCTGCCACAATATCGGATTGACTTCAAGCACTTTCTTCAAGCAATGGAGGAAAACACTTAGGGCGTGTGCATGTAATAGCTGCTACATGTAATCCCTGCACCTGTTGACTTGTTGGATCCCAACATGTATGTTTAGACTAGTGGAATGGTTGTGCTTGTTTGGTGGCGTGCATCATTATTTGTGGATGCCACCATTCCTGCGTTATGTACAAACCATCATATTGCATACATACTGCATTCAAGGCTACTCTTTGTTTCATCTCCTGGCAAGCGGATATGTACTTAGTTTTCAGTGTTTAGAGAAATCCCTCATCATGTGTGCTGATAACCTTTTGGGCCCAAGAATAGGGTACATTATTCCATCTTATCTCACATAATGTTTTTAGACTTCTGGAAAAATCTGTCGGTTCGACCCCTCTGTCGGCTGGCATGATAGTTGACTTCGGCGCGGCCTAGGAAGACTGTAGTCAATCTAGGTCTGTCCAGCGTCCACCTCTAGTGCCCCACCATTCCGTCAAACCATCGCAAACCTGCCTTCTCATTGTGCCACGTTGGCCTTCGACCCGAAAGTAGTCGTCAGTAACACGGACGTTACAAAATTCGACAGCATTTTTGGAAGAAACCGTCATTCTCTTGGCCAACTGGCCCACGCCAACCTCAAATTCGCCATCCCGACGCGCATGACAGCAAAATCGAGGCGCGATGTTTCACCCTTTCATTTCATTGGTGGCTGGTGCGGGTTTGGACGAAAACTCCTCTACTCCCCTCCGAACAACGGCCCAAATTCGCCTACCTTCTTCAGCAGCACGAGCAAGCAGCCCCCCCGTCAACGTTTCTTGCTTGCAACATCTGCAACACAGTGCAATACAGCCTTGAAATGGCGGCAGATCCACCTGCACTTGGCTGATCTGCAAGCTAACGTGGATCTCCTGTCACTCGAGCGATGTGACCTTCGTCTCTAGCCTCCGAAGTTCCAGGTGCTGTGCTTGGCAGTCTTCGCAAGTCTCGGTTTCGCATCCCCCCTCCTCCTGTGGTACTCCCTCCGAAGCTCACCCCTGCCGCCACTCCTACACACAAACTCTCATGCTCTCGTTTTTGCAAGTCGTGATTCGAGAATCATAATCTAGGCCATCGCTCTCACGCACCGCCCCTCGACGGTCGGTGACCACTCGCTCTTCCTGTCGCCACCCCAACTCGCCGTGGGTCTCGAAAGCGGATTTAATAGCAGCGCCCTCTGGTTCCCCTTGTCCCGCAGCGCACGCACCTGAGGTTATCGTAGGACGTGCTATTTAGCAAGAGTGATGCTATTTGAGAGTATAAGGTCGCAGGTAGTAGTTCTAGAGAGACATTCAGCCCACTTGCCGTGTTGCATTGAACTGTTTCTAGAATTGCGTCGTAGTAACCGTTAGTCTTTCTCAGCCGCCACACTGCCGATTGAGAAGCGCAAATAACTTTCACATAGCGTCGCAAGTACCAGAGCAATATCAGTTTTCATGGATGGTATGAGTTTCGACTTTTTGTCACAAGAGGAGGACGATTTTTTGTTCCAACTCGCGGTGACAGGGTCAGAAACCCATGATATGCTAGCAGAACCAGTAGTAGAATTTGAGAAAAGTGCCGGCGAACAGGGTATTAAAGATGATGATGGCGCGCCGGTCGATGCTTCCGAGACTGATCTTGGAGACGAACAGCGCGCTTACGACGAACTTAAAGCCCTCCTGGACGCCACGAGCGCCACGGCGAGCGCTTTAATCAGTACCCGCGACGCGAAGGAAAGTCAAGAAGGTTCTGTTTCGCCAGGCGGCGGTAGGGCCGGGTTGGGGATAGCGTTAAGCGGAACTCTTAGCGACCCGCAGTTGGCGCTGCAGCAGGTCCAGTGGCTGGAACGCGCGTCGTGCGCTCTCACCAAGTTCCTTCCCCTTCTAGCTACGAGCATACGGGACGGCGCTACTGCTAACAGCGCTGCGAGCACCAGCACCAAGGCGCTTCAGAAGACCGTCGCGGAGCAGGCAGCAGCAACTGCCGGCTCGCCGGGTTTCGTTGCACAGATGCTTTCTGCCATGTCGGAGCCGCAAGGCGCCGTGGACGGAGCAGACGCGTCGGACGAGCCCGCGTCGCAGCAGCAGCAGCAGCAGCAGCAGCAGCGGAAGATTGCTGAAGAGGAGGAGGACGCGGCAGCGCTGTTCCAGAGCCTGCAGCGCGACATTGGCATGGCGCCAGGCGATGAGGGCAGCGACTCCACCGTGCTACAGCCTCTACAGCCGTTGTCGCAATCGCTGCCACCAGGTCACGTTCTTGACATAGCTATTCCGGAAGGAGCGCCACCAGTGGAGTCTGTCTACGCAGGGGACAATTGCATCAGCGCTGCACCAGTGGAACTTGGTGCTGCTGCTTCAACGGATGCAGCATATGCGTTCCCCATCGGCTCTGCTACTTCCGTGGTCGACAAAGATAATCTCAATGCGCCAAGGCCTCTCTCGTTCCATCAGGACATGGCTGGTCACAACAGCATGTGCATGGATAAGGGACCTGGGATCCCTGCTGCTGCGCTGCTCGACAGCGTGCCATACGCAATGCTCGCCGGAAACTCGGGATCCCTGCTTGGGTCTGCTATCCAGAATTTCACTGTCCCGTACCTGGTGCTGGAACACTCTCAGCCTAAGCTCCCCCATGTGACGTCTACTGCAGTGGCGACGTCGCTGCTTGCACACCTGGCTGGGTCCCATCCGTCCAGCCCCGCATCAGAGACCTCTTCTGCGCCTGTTGTCGAACCTGCTGCCTTGCTTCCTCGCTACAAAGGACCCCACTATAAGGGAGTTCGCCAGAGAAGGTGGGGACGCTGGGTTGCTGAGATTCGCGAGCCACGCAGGCGTAGCCGCATTTGGTTGGGTAGCTATGATGAGCCTGAGGATGCAGCCCGAGCATATGACACGGCTGCTCGACTCTTGAGGGGCAAAAAGGCCCGACTTAACTTCCCTGCAAGCAACGCTTCTGCACCACTTCCACATGCTGCCGCAGAAGCGGTGCTCCGCGCTTTGAGGAGGATGCAAGAGACGCAGGAAACGCCCAGTGAGTTAATGCTCAAATATAAGCATATAAAATGACGAGACCTGTCTGCTGGAACTGCACTGCCATGGGGTAGTGGACTTTGGCGTGTTTGTATGAAGGTAGGGAGTCTGAGTGTCCTAAACTCCATGCCAGTGCAGTGCAGCTTTTAATTGCTCTTTTGTTTGAGTTTGTGCTATAAGGTTTGTATTTTGCTCGTTTAACCAGATTCTAACTGTATCATGCTACCCATAACTTGAGTGATATGTCCACCATATGAGCATCCGGAAGAAGGGAGAACAGTCGTGTGATAAGGCGATTTGCTAGCTGTAAGGGCTTCCAGCTCTTTGAGAAAGGTTCGCAATTATTGTCTTCATCTGTGAGGACATGCTCATTGCCGTTCAGAAAGACAGGAGCAGGTGAAAAGGTACCAGTCGTCAAGCTGGCATTGGTCACATCCCCCAACACCCTCATATTCCATTCGGGCACATTCTCATAATCAATCAAGTCGACGATATTCACCAGATTTTAAGTTCCAGACTCGACCAACTGTCCTGAAAAGTTCGTACCCCACGTGGTTGTCGTTGGCGCCGTTTGGACGCTCAACCAGTGGGATCGGAACTGGAAATGCATGCATTTATAACTTCTCCACCTGCCCACAGCCCCACTGCGCCAGTGATCCACCCACAGACTGTACAGTACTTGATCTACGCATCCCCCTCATTTCTCTCGGGATCTCTCTGCCTTCAGAGTCACCAGGTGCGTGCATGCGATTGGTCAACAGCCGCAAGGAAAACCAGGCGCACCAGTCCGCGTTTCTCTCGAACTGAACGTACATATGACACGCGAGTCCGCGTTTCTCCTGGTGTTCTTGACGGAACCTCGGTGTACTGTACATTCCGCCGTACAAAAAAATTCTACTGTACTGAGTCCTGGACTCACGAATCACGATTCACGAACACTGACAGCTGGGTGTTGGGTGGTTGATTGAACGCCTCCCATCACAGTAGAGTAGAGCGCGAAGGAAGGAACTTGTCTGCTGCTCTGCTCGTCACCATTCACCAACTGGTGGCATCAAGACGAATTCACTTCACCAAGTCAACGTTGGCCCTGGGCTGGGATATGACTTGCAGGTGAAAATTAGCTGTTCAGATCCTCACGAGATCATCAAGTCCTTTCAAGCGGTCCTTACGTTTAGTTAGCATTTGCCTTTTTTTTTAGAATCCCGCATGGGCGCCGTACGGCGATACTCCGACTGTCAAGCGGAGGTCGCGTGGAAGCTCCTCGCGTCGCTTCCTCCAGCGGAGAGCGCCGTCCCTACCCACCACCGCCACGTTGCCGGCGCGCTGGATAAACCGCGCGAATGCACGAGCCGTGATTCAAACACCCGAAGCCCCGACATGCAAAGGGCAAGCAACAGGAAGAGCCCGGTCTCGATTAATGAGAGCAGCTGTGACGGCGAGTTAGCATCGGCGAATGGAGTCAACAACGGAAGCATTAGTACCAATAGCAAGCGCATGGAGAGCAGTAGTAAGGTCGGGTCGCGAGATGTGTTCGGCCAAGCCGCGGCCCCGCGAAAGGAGCTCGATCCCGTCAAGGCGCGGCGGCGGTCGAGCAGCGATTGGAGCGACGGAGCGAACCCAGTGGGGATCCTGGACGACATCGGCGATCTGTATGCGACGAATGACGACGACGCTGCAGGTACCGTGCGCGTAAATGCACAGCGTCGTGACTCCCTCCCGCGAGTAACTGGCGACACTACTGCCGCTATTCCCCGCGGGGGCTCGGCGGAACTCCCGGCCCTTACAGCGCAAGCCCCCGCCAGGCCTACCGGCGTCCCGCGACAGGCGGGTGCGACATCTGACGCACGCGCTGGTCGCCGCCGATCGTTCGACGGACAGATTGACCGGCTGAAGAACTCCGCCATTGGGGGCGGAGGCGGCACGGGCGCCGTCGGCTCGCCTGTGTGGGCGGCGGAATGCGGGGATCTGTACGGCAGCGAGGAGGGCGACCACGTGCCGATCACGTGGCATGGCGACGACGAAGATGTGAACGCACCAGCAGGCGGCGATGGATTCACCTCCGCCAGCAGCGTCGAGGCCTTGCAAGCAAAGGCGCGCGCGCCGCCGCCCACTGGTAGGGGCTCCGTGCATGCGAACAGGGCCTCCGCGAGTCGGTCCGCCCCGCGCGCGCAAAGGGGCGCGGTAGAGCAGCAAGAGGCGGCGTGGCTTCCGCCTCGCGCGGCGAAAAAGCCGCCGCGTTTGGAGGACGAGGATGAGGACGGCGCAGGGAGCGACAGCGGCGGTAGCGGTGGCGGCGGCATGGTGGTTCGGCGTCATACCGTGGGCGTGGACGGCCGGGAGAGGCGGGCTGCGAGTACGGGCAGGGCGAGAACGGCGCGGAGCGGAATCGGCATGCTGGATGACGTGGCGTTGAGGAATAACGCGCAATCGACGTCGCGGAATGCGGGTGTTGTGGCGGCGATGGTTGCCGGGGAGGAGGAAGGGGAGGACGACGGGGAGGAGGGGGAATGGAGCAGTCCCGAGCGCACTCTGCGCCGATCGACCACTGTTGACAGCGCGGCGCGCCGTCGCCCCGCGGGGGGCTGGAAAGGGAAAGGCGGAAAGAAACCGCCCGCGCCGGAATCCGGCGGGTCCCCGTCCTTCGGAAGTGTGCGTGCGGGGGCTGCGCACGCGCGGACGGGCTCCGCGGGGAGCGTGGGGCACGGAGGCAGTTTGGACTGGGATGTGGAAGACCAGCAAGCGCCGCCGCCGCAGGCGCAGGCGCAACGTCTATGGGCGGAAGGGGGAGAGGGAGATCAGCAGTGGATGCAGCGGCAGCCTCCGCAATGCATCAAGGCGGCGCTGCGCGCACGGGTGGTCGGGCGTCTCGGTGGCAATTCCGCAAGCAGCGCAAGCGGCGCTGTCGGCGCCGCTTGTGGAAGGCCGTTTTTACCTGCGGGCGGTGCGCTACCTCCCCATGTTCCGCCGAACTGGGCGGCGGGTCCATATCCCCCTTCCGCCTCCGCCACCACTAGCTTCATCCTGTTGTAGAGGACTCTCCTCTACTTTGCAGGAACTGGGAGTTGTTCTAAACGATAGAGCTCTGTCTTAGCTTTCCAACGAGCCGTCAAACACGTCGATCGCCTAAGTATTCTCCGAGATATAGGCGTTCACGTGCTAGGTGGTGCTCTTGAATGCAAGTAAAGAAGCTCTCTGGAATTTGTGTTCGAATGTACCTTGTACAAAGAACTCTGAGTTTCACTATGATGGCATGCAATACAAAGAAAACAGATTTATAGCATGCAAACAAGATCGAATCGCACAAGTAACCTCGAACGGCTACACTCGCGAATGTTCGAGTAACATCGAAAGGGTGAAATTCGACTCTCGAATTTCACCGATCCGAATTCTCCTTGGGTCTCGAATGTTCCTGGTGCTGCCATGTGGCACCGAATCGAATGGGTCTTCCGAAGTCAATCCTCAACCCCACGCAAACCTGCAACTCACTCGAAGGTGAGCACAAGTCACACATTCGGTGGGTTGGGGGCATACAAACGCCCCACCACCACCTTGCTTCCAACACACGTAATCTCCAACACATCCCCCCCCACCTTCTGCCATCCTGCCCCTCCGCGAACTCCGCCCGCTCGATTTCCGCTCCGCCCGCCCGCCCATTCGCTCCGCCCGCTGCCCCGGGTCCGGGGGTGCAAGCGGAGGAGGACGCGCAGCAGCTTCCGCCGCCCCCGCGCCTACTGCGCACGCTCTCGTCGCTCTCCTCCTCCTCCGCGCGCTCCTCCTGCTCCCACGTTTCCACCAGCTCCGCCCCCGCCGGGCCTGTTGCGCTGTCCGCCCTCCGCGCGCGCGCGGAGGCTGCGGGGAGCAAGCAGAGGCGGGGAGCGGGCGCGGGGAGACCAGCGGGTCGAGCGGGGGAGGGGGCAAAGGAGAGCAGCGGGAGGGGGAAGCCCGGGCCAGGGTCAACACGGGGTAAGGTGTCGGAGAGAGTAGCAGTTGGGAATGGCGTGCAACGAGTGTACTTAAACTGATATACTAATAAGGGGAATGCTCCAGGTTTCACAGAGTAAATCGGTGGAGTAAAGAGGATGATGTTGGATGGTGCAAGAATGGTGGTGCAGGCAAGGATGATAATACGGGCGAGGGCATTGGTGATGGTGCGGACATGGTGATGGTGCAGGCACTGGTGCTGGCAAGTGAGAAAGATTTTGCAGTGCCTGGATCGGATTGGATTTTATCTGCACCAGTGCAGTGTGTTACAAGTGCTCTCTGACTCTGCAAGTCGTGCCTCAGGATGTGCAGAACGCATGTGCAAGAAACATGCTGCAGAGCAGAAGCAAGGCTTAATGGCCATGCCGAGAGAAAGCATGCCAACTGTTTTCAAGCTTACACTGAAGTTTGAACTAACCCTTTCTCTCCCTGCGCCTTCCCTTCCTACTTTCCCTGATAACATACTCTCCCATGCCACATAACCCCCTCGCTTTAACCATATATTCTGCTTCGCCCTCTCCCTCATGCCTACATCCTCCTCCCACTCTTCCCCTCCCCCAGTCCACTCCGTTCTTTCTGCAAGATGTGTTTGTGGTTCTATGCAATGTGTGTTTCTTTTCAAGGTCTATCCTGTACGCCTGCATTGCTATACTATGGTGTGTGGAGTGCATGGTCTGGGATGGAGGTATGCTGCTCTAGGTCCCCTCTTTCCTTCCCTGACTTGTGCGCTCCACTCCAGGGATGTTCTTCCACATCATCATAACCTTTCTGCTATTTGACCCCGCTCTTCATTGTTGTACCATAAAGCGCTTACCGTATTGTAATATCTAACTATACAAGATTGGACTCCTGGCTGATGGTTATTGCAACTTGGCCTGGACATATCATGCTGCAACAGCAAAAGACAGCATCCCTGTCAGGGAGGTCTCTTCTGTGCAATCTCTCTTTACTCTCGACAGATACTGCAACTGACAGATTGGGTAGCGCCCAGTACGGTACATTATCTACATGCTCTTGCCCCGCGGCACCTGTTAGCAGCGCTACCTGAGGTTACCGCCCTTGTCACAGCGGCTGCATTATGTTATGAGGTGATTGTATTGTCCGGTACCCAGTCCTGACCACTGTTAAATACACCAACATAAGATATTACAAATGCTGTTAGATTTTACTGTAGTGTTCCTTTATAAAGACTCCCAGCCCTCCAATAATTGTACAATTATTGGAGGGCCAGAATTATTGGAGTCTAGAATTATTGGAGGGTAAGAATTATTGGCGGGTAAAATTATTGGTGTAGGATTATTGGTGTGGACAGGGCCCTCCTGATGGGGTGACCTGCTGACATATATACCCTGCTCTGTCATTCCAGAACAAAAAAATCAATTCCATTACCGTAAATACACCAACATAAGATATTACAAATGCTGTTAGATTTTACTGTAGTGTTCCTTTATAAAGACTCCCAGGCCTCCAATAATTGTACAATTATTGGAGGGCCAGAATTATTGGAGTCTAGAATTATTGGAGGGTAAGAATTATTGGCGGGTAAAATTATTGGTGTAGGATTATTGGTGTGGACAGGGCCCTCCTGATGGGGTGACCTGCTGACATATATACCCTGCTCTGTCATTCCAGAACAAAAAAATCAATTCCATTATTCTCATTCTGGCTTCAACCATTCAATGCAAGTCTTCCAGCCTTGCTCTTTCTACAAACTAGCTTCCGCAACGCCGGCATCATGCCTTTCTAGCAACCACCGTGTGACCTGCCTTGTTCGTGGTGGCTGGCCCTGAATGTGCATGCACCTCATGGTTGGATGTCGTGCACTACACTTCCCCCCCGTCACTGTGTGTGTGCCTCTCATCTCATCTCATGGCAGCTCCACCTACTCTCTCACTAAGCGCCGTAAAACGAGGGCTTGGCCTGCAGCAGCCAAGTCCTCCTCATGCCACTGCACAGCACGAGTCATCATGTCGCAGCACAGCACCTGCAAGAGGGCACTCACTGCCCTGCTTGGGTGTTTGTGCCAAATAGCCTTCCAGGATTTCCAATGCCCACCCCACCCACCTACCATTCTACCGTATCCACACACAACCCAGCACAGCACAGCACAACACAGCACACCTAAGCAAAATTTGAGCTAAGAATCTTGACAGCTACGCATGTGTAATTAACCACAGCGGCGCATCTTGAGATTCTGGTGGGCCACTGCCATGAGGCGCTTCACAAGTCCTCCTCTGCCTCGCTCTGCACTCCACCACAGAAGAAGCCAGCCAATGGGGCAACAATGGGACATGGCAGAAAGGGGAGGAAAGAGAGCAACGAGTCATTTACAAGTGGCAATAGCGCAAACCAGCACACAAGTGAAGCTGAAAATAAGCAACAAGATTAATTGTGCGTTGTCCTCATGTCAGACTGATGGTGATAAACTGTAAGTAAGCATGGCCAGCAACTCCCCTCCCACCTACCAGCTGTAGCTGCCACTGCTTTCCCCGCAGTTGCTGGCAGGGGCAGCAATGGGACATGGAGAGGGGGGGGGGAGATCAGGGCACCGTAACAATAGGCCACAGAGCGGAGGACGAGCAACGCAAGGAGTAAAGGAGACGAGAAGGGCATCACACCACTAGACAAGAACGCGTGTGATCAAGTCAGGCAACATATGAGGGAACTGGGACGCACTAGGGAAAGCTGTAATCACCCGTTCATTGCTGCAGCCGCAAGAACTGCAGTGGTTAATGATGCTCCAACTACCCCTGCCACCACTGCTGCTGCTGCTACCACCACTAGTGCCCGTGCTGCTGGTGCTGGATAGACGGGATGGAAGAGAGGAGAGCAGAGGAGAAGAGAGGACAGGAAGGGAGGAGTTTGGGAGGTGAACAGAGTGTCATTAACATGCGGTGACACACCACAAGGCACTGTGGAAAATCGAACAAGAGAAAGCACGTTTGATGGAAAAATGGTATACTAGCTGATCGGTTCACAAATCGTTGTGTGCTTACTATCATCCAGCCGCTGATGCAGGCACTGGTGACCCCTGAGTTGATGCAGGCACTCTGTCCGCTGCTCTGCCACTCCTGCACCACGCCTTCCCTTCACGCCTGCTCCTCCAAGTTGCTGCAGGTTGCTCCGTCTGCCCATGCTCGCAGGCCGTGAGGCACCCACATACACGGGGAGAGAGACACGCACACACAAGCAGCACCAACAAGGGAGGGTTAGAAACAGCACGAGGCGAGTGGCGGAGGTAAAAGCAAGAGACACGACTCTTGCCTCTGCACGGCGACGCTCTACGACTCACTTTCCTCCCCTCTGCAAGCACCCCCTGGCGCGTACCAGTCTCCGTCCGCCCCTCGGCCACTCCTGCGAGCCACGCCTTCACTTGAGACGTTCTGCTCCAGCCAGGTTGCTTGGCTGCTGCTGCTCCTGCTCCCGGACGCGTGATTCCCCCCACCAGCCGTGGCTACTACGTACAATTAAAGTTTTGTTGATCGCGTGGAAGGGAACCCCGAGGAACTTGATGCGAACGAATGCGATCCTTATGGTGTGCACGAGCCTCTCATGACTTAGAGGCTATTTCCGGATAATATACATGTCAGCTGTTGCGCCATGTCGTCTTGTCGCCGCGTCACTTCACTCTAGAGTTTCGCAGGTCGCTGGAGGGAAAACAGAAACCAGTCAGGTGTAAAGCTACGGTTTGCTGCTGTGGGACGCATCTGTCGCGAAGAAGCCTTGCTGGGTGTCGCAACCGTTGTACTGCAGCGTTCGACGGTGCATCAGGGAGAAATCATTCTCAAAGTGAACTGTCCCAACGCTGAGCCTAGCTGAATCTACGTTACCACGAGCAGCAGTTAGGCCGTCTCTCCGGGAAGTCACCCCTCGGTAAATGAAAACAATAGGACCTTGTTTTAAGGAGCTAACTGTCTAACATTGTCGCAACGCACCGGAAGCTGATCAATGGGAAAGCTGAGCTTTAGGCTATAGACAATTTAGAGTACTCGACTACTATTCAGTGGAAATCCACATAGGTACTCGGCTACTTGACATACCCTCCATAACTATAACTCATCGGTCTAATCAGATCGAACCGTTGCCGTACTGTTGCAGAAGTTACAAGATTCGACGTTTACGTCGGATGGGTTGCGTAGATTGTATCCTCGTACAAGAAACATTATGATGGTGAATATAAAAATTTACTGATGTAAAGCAAATTAGAATGTTAATTATATTTGGTTAGAATGGAATAAGCTTCAAAATTCCTCTTTTGCTGCTTTCTGCAGATATGCTGTTTTTTTTTACTCAGTGATTCTTCTGTGTATTAACAGAGAACTATTTGGATGTGAAATGTTTTTTTGTGTTTATAATAGACAATATTTTTTTACATCCATCTTACTGTATTGCGCTTACAATTTACTTTAGTGGGAAGCAGTGTACTTATTTCCTTTCACACCTGTCTGCTCGAATTCGACTTCCGTCTCCTTGGTTCTTGCTTCTTGCTTCTTGCTTCTTGGTTCTCCCTCCAAATCCGCCCATTCCCGCCCAATCCTGCAGTCGCGCCTTACCTACCGTCTAGCTGTCCCTTACTCCTTTCCGTCCCTCTCCCTCTCACCCCGCCGTCGCGCTCTCTCCCACCCCGCCATCGCGTCTCTCTCCCTCCTAGCCGCCGTCGCCGCTCCCTCCCATCCCGCCATCGCCCCTCCCTCCTTTCCAGCCGCCGTCGCTGCTCCCTCCCATCCCGCCGCCGCCTCTCCCTCCTCCCGCCGCCGCCTCTCCCTCCTCCCGCCGCCGCCTCTCCCTCCTCCCGCCGTCGCCCCTCCCTCCTCCCCGCCATCGCCTCTCCCTCCTCTCCGCCGTCGCCTCTCCCTCCTCTCCGCCGTCCCCTCTCCCTCCTCTCCGCCGTCGCCTCTCCCTCCTCTCCGCCGTCGCCTCTCCCTCCTCCCCGCCGTCGCCTCTCCTTCTCTCCCTGCCGTCGCCTCTCCTTCCCGTCGCCTCTCCTTCCCTCCCCGCCGTCGCCTCTCCTTCCCTCCCCGCCGTCGCCTCTCCTTCCCTCCCCGCCGTCGCCTCTCCTTCCCTCCCCGCCGTCGCCTCTCCTTCCCTCCCCGCCATCGCCTCCGGCGACGGGTGCACGAGCGCAAGCGCGGGTTGGTGCGCGGAGCGCGGGTAGGTGCGCCAGCGCGGGTTGTTTTCTGAGGCACCGTGGTTATCAGGTGCGTTCCCGGTCCTTTCATCCTCCTTCCCCCTCTGAATTTCCCTTGTTTCTTGCCCTGTGTCAATTGGTCTCCTCTTGCATTGCACTTTCATCTGACGAAGGGGAGAGACCAAGCGCGAGGGAGAGCGTGTGCACGGGAGCGAACGCGCAGGAGAGAGCGAAGGAGAGAGCGCAAGAGAGAGCGCGCGAGAGAGCGTGCGAGAGAGCGCGCGAGAGAGCGTGCGAGAGAACGCGTGAGAGAGGGCATGAGAGAGCGCGTGAGAGAGCGCGTGAGAGAGCGCGTGAGGGAGCGCGTGAGGGTGCGCATGAGAGAGCGCATGAGAGCGCGTGAGGGTGCGCATTAGAGAGCGTGTGAGAGAGCGCAGGAGAGGGCGTGAGGGAGCGCGCGAGAGAACGCGTGAGAGAGAGCATGAGAGAGCGCGTTGGGGTGCGCATGAGAGAGCGCATGAGAGCGCGCGAGGGTGCGCATTAGAGAGCGTGCAAGAGAGCGCGTGAGAGAGCGCATGAGAGAGGCGTGAGGTTGCGTATGAGAGAGCATGTGAGAGAGCGCGTGTGAGAGCGTGAGAGAGCTCGTGAGAGAGCGCGTGAGGGTGTGCGTGAGGTGCGCGTGAGTGAGCGTGTGAGAGAAGCGCGTGAGAGAGCGCATGAGAGAGCGCGTGTTAGAGCGTGAGAGTGCGCGTGAGAGTGTGCGTGAGAGAGCGCATGAGAGAGCGCGTGAGTGAGTGCGTGAGAGAGAGAGAATGCGCGTGAGAGTGCGCGAGAGAGAATGCGCGTGAGGGTGTGCCTGAGAGTGCGTGTGAGAGAGCACGTGAGAGAGCGCGTGTGAGAGCGTGAGAGAGCGCGTGAGAGGTGCGTGAGAGAGCGCGTGAGAGTGCGCGTGAGAGAGCGTGTGAGGGTGCCCGTGAGAGAGCGCGTGAGAGAGCGCATGAGAGAGCGCGTGAGGTTGCGTATGAGAGAGCATGTGAGAGAGCGTGAGAGAGCTCGTGAGAGAGCGCGTGAGGGTGTACGTGAGGTGCGCGTGAGTGAGCGTGTGAGAGAAGCGCGTGAGAGAATGCATGAGAGAGCGCGTGTTAGAGCGTGAGAGTGCGCGTAAGAGTGTGCGTGAGAGAGCGCGTGAGAGAGCGCGTGAGTGAGTGCGTGAGAGAGAGAGAATGCGCGTGAGAGTGCGCGATGCGCGTGAGGGTGTGCCTGAGAGTGCGTGTGAGAGAGCGCGTGAGAGAGCGCGTGAGTGTGCGCGTGAGAGAGCGCGTGAGGGTGCGCGTGAGGGTGCGCATGAGAGAGCGCATGAGAGCGCGTGAGGGTGCGCATTAGAGAGCGTGTGAGAGAGCGCGGGAGAGGGTGCGAGGGAGCGCGCGAGAGAACGCGTGAGAGAGGGCGTGAGAGAGCGCGTGAGAGAGCGCATGAGAGAGCGCGTTAGGGTGTGCATGAGAGAGCGCATGAGAGTGCGTGAGGGTGCGCATTAGAGAGTGTGTGAGAGAGCGTGTGAGAGAGCGTGTGAGAGAGAGCGTGAGAGGCGTGAGGTTGCGTATGAGAGAGCATGTGAGAGAGCGCGTGTGAGAGCGTGAGAGAGCGCGTGAGAGAGTGCGTGAGAGAGCACGTGAGAGAGCGCGTGAGAGAGCGCGTGAGGGTGCCCGTGAGAGAGCGCGTGAGAGAGCGCATGAGAGAGCGCGTGAGAGAGCGCGTGAGGTTGCGTATGAGAGAGCATGTGAGAGAGCGCGTGTGAGAGCGTGAGAGAGCTCGTGAGAGAGCGCGTGAGGGTGTGCGTGAGGTGCGCGTGAGTGAGCGTGTGAGAGAAGCGCGTGAGAGAGCGCATGAGAGAGCGCGTGTTAGAGCGTGAGAGTGCGCGTGAGAGTGTGCGTGAGAGTGCGCGTGAGAGAGCGCGTGAGTGAGTGCGTGAGAGAGAGAGAATGCGCGTGAGAGTGCGCGAGAGAGAATGCGCGTGAGGGTGTGTCTGAGAGTGCGTGTGAGAGAGCACGTGAGTGTGCACGTGAGAGAGCGCGTGAGAGAGCGCATAAGGGTGCGCGTGAGGGTGCGCGTGAGAGAGCGCGTGAGAGAGCGCGTGAGGGAGTGCGTGTGAGATCGTGAGAGTGCGCGTGAGAGTGTGCATGAGAGAGCGCGTGCGAGAGCGCGTGAGTGAGCGAGTGGAAAAGCACGTGAGAGTGCGCGAGAGAGAGCGCGTGAGAGTGTGCCTGAGAGTGCATGCGAGAGAGCGCGTGAGAGAGCGCGCGAGAGAGCGCGTGAGAGAGTGCGTGAGAGAGCGCGTGAAAGAGCGCGTAAGAGAGCGCGCGAGAGAGTGCGTGAGAGAGCGCGTGAAAGAGCGCGTGAGAGAGCTCGTGAAAGAGCGAATGAGCATGCTGGGGCATAGGCACTAGCATCTATTCTGCTGGTGCTTGGGCAACTGGGGCTACTTATACAAATGAGTGTCAATTATTGCACTAGCGCTTAGAGTGCCGGCTAAGGTGTCGAGGCCTCAGACGCTCGTCTAGGCTGCTGGCAACTAGCGAGCTAGTGCCAAGCACGCTCGCTCAGCACGCTCTAACGCTTGGGCGCTGGCATGGCACCTAATGTGCCGCGCTTGAAGCGCTAGCGTTATGGCCTTTGGTCTTTGGCTTTCTTGTACAGTGTGTGATCACAAACTGTTTTTTTGGGCAAGGTGTGCTGTTGCTTTCTCTGTTTTGGCTTTCTTGTGCAGGGCGTGTAGATGTTGACTTCTCTGTTTTTGCTTTGTGCAGGGAGTGTTTGTGTTGACTTCTCTGTTTTTGCTTTGTGCAGGGCGTGTTTGTGTTGACTTCTCTGTTTTTGCTTTGTGCAGGGCGTGTTTGTGTTGACTTCTCTGTTTTTGCTTTGTGCAGGGCGTGTGTGTGTTGACTTCTCTGTTTTTGCTTTGTGCAGGGCGTATGTGTGTTGACTTCTCTGTTTTTGCTTTGTGCAGGGCACATGAGCTGAGAAGGGAGATGAGGGAAGGAGGGAGGGAGGGTTGTAAGGAGGGTAAGGTGGGATAGGCTAGCAGTTATTTATGCATGTCTGAATTTTATTCATGATGGTTGCGTGTTTATTGCGGTCTCTGTATCTATCTGTGGTTGTTTGCATGTGTGTCAGTGTGTGCGTGTGCTTATGCGTGTGTGTACGTGCGCGTGTGAGCTTGTGTGTGCGATGTGTGCGTTTGTCTGTTTGCACCTGTCTGTCTCGTGTGTGCAACTGACGTGTGATGCTGAAGTGTGTCGGGTCTACATTTGAGGTGGGGATCGTTGTTGGGGCAGCGTTGCTCGCCTTAGCATACCGGAACCATCTCTGTTGTAGCACCGATGCATCTTAGCATTCACTCGCTATTGCTATGTGTTGTTTTTGCACGTGTTATGCAACTGAGGTGTGATGTTTAAGTGTGTCGGTTCTCCATTTGAGGTGGGGATCGTTGTTGGGGCAGCGTTGCTTGCCTTAGCATACCGGAACCATCTCTGTTGTAGCACCGATGCATTCTAGCATTCACTCGCAGTTGTTATGTGCAACTTTTGCTCGTGTTGAATGGATGCACATGATTTGCATTCATGACCAGTGGGTGTTTTTCTCGTCCATTGTGTTTGATGACGACAACCAATTGTTCCATTCGCCGTATTTATCGACGATTATGGAATGATAGGTCACATTTGGTTACACTTTTTTGGAAACTCGTGTGTATCAGTGCTGTCATCTCCACACATTTGGAACACTCGTTATCAAAACGATCAAACGAGTGGTTCGGACGTTGTGAAAATGACAAAAACTGCACTGTTCATTTGAGTCGACCGAAAAGTGCTACCAAATGTATAAGGTTGCTACGCAACCCAAAAACCAGGGTCTTGTGAGAATAGTAAGCACAGTGAGGAGCCATAGCTAGGGTTTAGCTAGCTAGGCAAGAGAGAAATGAACAAAGGAGGGTTTTCACTAGCAGCAGTTGGGATACATATAGCAAACCCTAACAGGGTTGTACTCGCTATAGAGCACCCCATTACAGGCTAGATAATAACATTCGGACACACCCCCATAGCCAAAGTGGGGTGTAATCAGCAGAGCACACAGTCATAGAGCAGGTGCACAATTGCAAGCAAAGCTAGAGGCTATCACAGAGGGCAAGTGAGGAGGAGGAGGAACTGTGGAAGGAGAGAAGATGGGAGGCAACGAGTGAAGCTGCAGAGGCACGGGCACAGGAGCGGCTGACTCAGTGGCTACCGAAGCAAGGGCGACGGACTACTGGAGTGACTGGCTCCGCGGTTAAGACGAGCGGCAGGAGCAACGGACCCACTGGCGACTGGTGCAACAGGCTCACTGGCTACCGAAGCAAGGGCGACGGACTACAGGCGCTGCAGGCGACACGACAGCTACCTCCACACAACCTCCTCCAACTGACCCTTGACACACACCCCCTACTGAACCCCTAACTCCACTCCCACGTCACCCCCCTAGCACCACTCCTTCGGCTCCCACACACCCACCCCCCTGAGCGGCAGCTGCAGCAGCGGGAGACGGAGGAGGAGGAGGAGCAGGGGACGGCGCACACAACCGGCACCCCCACAACCGTCACCCCCACACTCCTCACCCCCAAACCCTAAAACGGGTGGCACGGGGTAGGAGCGCGGGGGACGGCGAGGGGGACGGCGCGCGGCCCCCAGGGCGCCACCACGGGGCAGCGAGGGGGGCCGCGCGCGGCGCCAGGGGTGGCGCGCGGCTCCAGGGGTGACACGCGGCCCCCAGGGCGCCACCACGGGGCAGCGAGGGGCCGCGCGCGGCTCCCCAGGGCGCCGCGACGTGACGGGCGGGGGCCGCGCGTGCTCCAGGGGTGACGCGCGGCCCCCAGGGCACCACCACGGGGCAGCGAGGGGCCGCGCGCGGCTCCCCAGGGCGCCGCGACGTGACGGGCGGGGGCCGCGCGTGCTCCCCAGGACGCCGTGACGAGCAGGGCGGGGGCCGCGCGCGGGTCCCCAAGGTAGGAAACCGCCGCGCGCCTCGGGGCGCACGGCGGGCAGAAAACCGCCGCGCGCCCCGAGCGCACGGCGGAAAGAAAACCCGAAAAAAAATCGCGAAGAAGGAGTCGCACGCCACGGGGCGTGCAACAGACAGAGTAGCAGCGGAAGCAGTTAGGTGGGCCCACAGGCCAGGAGCGTAGATGCTCTGATAGCATGTGAGAATAGTAAGCACAGTGAGGAGCCATAGCTAGGGTTTAGCTAGCTAGGCAAGAGATAAATGAACAAAGGAGGGTTTTCACTAGCAGCAGTTGGGATACATATAGCAAACCCTAACAGGGTTGTACTCGCTATAGAGCACCCCACTACAGGCTAGATAATAACATTCTGACAGGTCTCACGTAGATCAATTGTTTTGCAGTTGATGGTTGGAGTTTGGCTGCTATTGGTTGGCGAGGTGCAAAAAATGGAAAGGGGTGCAACGAGGGGTGCGAGGGGAACTGAAATCGTTTGAGAGTGTCCTAACCTCCTAGGCATGGAAATAGGTTCGGAGCCGAAGCTGAAATGCCAGTGAAATGTTCTGACTGGTCCGAAGTCCCATGTACCCGAAATTTGTTTTGCAGTTGGTGCTGGGGGAGTGTCGCACGCCTACTTCCCTAGCCAACCAGTCTACCTCGCCTACAAAACACGGTAACTCAGCATCAAATGTTTTGCAATTGACCCTTACTTGAGACCAAGTCGGCAACATCGAGTACCTGCAGGTGTGGAGTTGGGAGGAGAAGCAGCAGGCGGAGTGGTTTGCATTCTGAGTAATGAACGACCAGAGAGAACTGCCTTGGGAATGCCTTGGGTTGGGGGTTGCGTGGCTCAAGGCGAGCAAAGGAGCAGCCGTGTGACGGCAAGGGAAGGGCATGGCATGGCATGGCATGGCATACAGTCGATGCTCAGCCTATCACAAAACATTTGCTCCCGCAATTAGAAATTTAGTCACTCGCGAACGTTTTGCCCGTGAGTGACTAAATTGACCATTGTGCCGATTTCAGGGTACAGTCACCAAGTTGAGGAAGAAAAACATCTACAGTTCATAAACAACAAAGGTTGCCCGTCATCAGAGATGTTAACCTGGTTACGAAATTAAAACCCTTGACTCGATTCACGTTGCAATTTCATATTACAGTCACATTTTTGCCCGTGGCGACAAGGGCGAACGTGGCGAAATGTCTCAAACTCGTTTCACGCACATGCCGCCCGCCAACCTGGTGTTCTTGAAATGGGCACCGACTGTATTGTATTTCTTAGGAATGGTGTGGCGAGGCGAGATTTGGGCTCGGCAGCTCACTGATTGATGGCCCGCGCTTCGTAGGTGCCGAGGCTTTCTGACATGCTCGGGCTGATTGGGCCGAAGTTGGGCGCCTATGTCAGAGGTCCACTGGTGATCCCCGATTGATCCTAGGGAAGGGTTACAGGCTCGTTGTCCTGGGGGGTTATGGGCGCACTAACCCGCTACTTAACAAGCCCTTTTATCCCAATGGTCTAGTGGTTGGGATTCTGACATGGTATCAGAGCGAAGGTCTCGGGTTCGAATCCCAGTGTGTGCATTTCGGGCATCCCAGTGCGGGGGGGTGTCAGAGGTCCACTGGTGATCCCCGATTGATCCTAGGAAAGGGTTACAGGCTCGTTGTCCTGGGGGGTTATGGGCGCACTGACCCGCTACTTAACAAGCCCTTTTATCCCAATGGTCTAGTGGTTGGGATTCTGACAGCCTAAGCAACTCAGTTTGAAAGCTCTCTCGCTGTAACGTGTTGCGATACGGTATCTTGCACGACGCTTTCGAAAAAATGTATTTTTTCGAAAGTGTGTAACACTTTCTAAAAATGCGTATTGTGAAAGCGCAGCTGCCTGTAACGAAGCAAAGCAACGGCGAATTACAATTCGCCGAGTACATAACGAGGGTTGGAGGCCATTCGGCCTCCACCCACGACTTCATTTCAGAACTTTGCAGTTTCACTCCCCACCCACCCACCCTAGTTGTACCAATATTTGTATGATCCATAGTTGGACGAGAATGTTGTATTACTGCAATTGTAATGAAGCCAGTTGCCCCAATTGTAATGAAGCCAGTTGCCTATGCAAGAACAGAAAGCAAGCTTTCTCAATTGGTGGGTCTTACTCGTTTTGTAGAAATCATACATAAACTTGTTAACAGAAAACCAGCTTCAAGAAACAATCAAGTCATTCTGAGTAATTCAGTTGCAGCAATTTGTACAACCCTACTACAGTACGCGCTCAACAAGGCCAGGGACTAGCCGGCACATGCCCTTCATAACTGGTAGTCCCCATTCACTTCACAGCCTCGCTTGCTGCTGCTGCTGCGTCCCCTCAACAGCAGCAGAGCGAGGGATAAGAAGAGCATCATAATGGCTACTGCCATTGTACAGCACGCAGATGGCATCCTTGCTGCTGCTAATCCCTTCACCTTCCACTCTCCTTTCGTCTCCCTCCTGCTTGCTTGCATACTCGCGGCCATACTCAGCTATGGGCATGATGGCACCCGAGCGAGGGGAACGAGGGTCAGCAATAAACACCGTGATGGGGGACCTGCGCAAGGGAGGGGACGGGGACAGGAGGAGCGCAGGGGGTAGTACATGAGGGTGACGGTGCGACGAATGGGCTCAAGAGAGCAGAGGGAGACAGAGAATCAGGTACACCGGTAAAAAAGGCAGAGTCGCGAGGAGGCACGATGGCAAGTGAAAACAGAGAAGGTGAGGCGAGAAGCGGGAAGAGATATGACGAAAGAAGGGCGTAAGGGCACGGCGCAGTGGTTGAAATGAGAATGGGGCGCGGACTTACTTGAGCACATGGGAGAGCATGAGGAGCTCAGGCTCTCCACCCCACACATAGGGCTTGCGGATGTTGGCCACATAGTCATCAAAGTTGCCCTCCAAGAACCTGCAGGTAACCACACACAGGCCGGGTAACCAAACAAACAGATGAGACAGTTGCTTTTCCTGGTTTCGACAAAAGATGAAGCAACGAGAATATGCGACAGGTCCTGAAAAGCACTTGGGAGGTAGCGGCACTGGGACAGCATCTAACACGAGAACGGGCAGCAGCAAGCAGCCAGCATGTTGGCGCGCTCACGCTCGAGCTTGCGCACACACCATTCGGTTTCTTCCCGCCGCTTCACGAACTCGTCCGCCACCTGGTTGCGCAGCGCGTCCGCCAGCTGGCAGCGCGCGGGGAGCGCCGTCGGCTGCGGGAGGGACGCGCGCGCGTGGTGGCCGTGCGCCACGGCGTGGAATAAGCAGCGCCCGTCGCCCGGGATGCCTGGTGTGAGAGGAAGGGACAGGGGAGCAAAAAGCGGGAGGACATATGGACTGAACGGCTGCGAAAGAGAGAGAATGGGGAACAAGCGAGCGTAGAAAGGAGACCGGAACCAGAACTGAGTTTAGGACGCGGATACGAGCAGACAGACGAGGAAGGCACTCACGGACGACATGGTAGTCTGTTGTCGACGCTTTTCGCGCATCCACCGACGCGTGCACTGCGCCGACCGCCGCCGCTTCGCACGCCACAGACCGCAAAACTGACGGTCCAGAATCTTCCCCCGGCCGCACAAGCGCGGCGGAGGCTGACGCGGCAGCCAACGTCAGCATGGCGAGATGCACCGGCTGAATGGGCTTCGCGGGTGACGCGGACGCGGCGCCCAGTCCGCTGTTACCCACGCTGAGCGCCGCCAACGCGCCGCGGATAACATCGTCCGCCGCGACTATACCGCCACCAGCCGCGACCTTGAATGCCCTCTCCCCTAACCCCAAACTCCTGCCGAGTGCCGCTGCTGCCACGAGCTCGCTCCGCCTCGCCGCGAGTAATACGGACAGCGGCCCCTCGTTGCCGCCGTAGAATCCGCTGGCATATCCGGCGCCGCCCACGCCGCCGCCGCCGCCGGTTGCGTTCGCTGCAGTTGGTGCGCAGCCGCAGCCGATACCGAGAGGGAGGGGTCGAGAGGGACGGAGGAGGAGAGCGCGGAGGAAGGGAGTGGAGCAGTGTACGGACGCCCAACTGGGACTTAGTCGAAGAAGCTCCTTCGACGCTGCTGACGCCACGTGGGACGCCCTCAACTGCGACGCGCCACCGCCGCCACCGCTGGTGCCGGGGCCGCTACCTAACCCCCTTTCGAAGCTTGCTGCTAGACCCGCGGCGCCCCTCGCGGTGCCGTGGAAGCCGCGGGGCGCGGCGCTCGAGCAGCCATCAGCGCAGGCGAAGGATCCAAGACAGGCAGTGCAGGAGGCGCAGTCGACGGCGCCGATCGCGGAAGCGGTTAAGCCGCCAATGGCGGAAGCGGAGGAGGGGGAGGCGGATGAGATGGTTGAGGAGGAGGAAAGGGTGAGCGCGTCGAGCGATGCGAGAGGGCGAGTGGCGGCGTCAGGGCACGCGATGACGCAGCGGGAAGCGCTGGCGGTGTGGATCGGGGTGAGGACGCGACGCGGAAGAGCGGCGGAATGGAGAAGCATCGCAAGGGGGACGCGACACGGACCGGACTAGGGCTGTTAAGAAGAGGGTGCGCTTAAAGAGCTACGGGACTAGAGGATGGACAAGCCGGAATGGGAACTACGATCCGCCGTTCAGCGACGAGTGCGGAGGAGGCGACGTTCTTGACGCAGAGGCGGGTGGGGAACGAATAACGGTCGCCATGAAATGGGTTGTCAACAGTGAGCGATCTACTCTGACGGCGGCATGACACAACAGCTTGCGGAATAAAAGGTTAAAGGAAAGGTAAAGCGACGCTAATGGTGTGATCTGAAAGTCGCGGCAGCAGCAACGCGGGAGAAATGCGGATGTCCTGGTGAGGATACTGCCGTGATGAATGCAACTGAACAGACGCTGTGGTAATAGCTCGTAACTCTGAATGGACAGCCAAAGTTGAAACGAGGCTTTGAAGTAAAATACCAAGGACAACCAGAGTAAGGTTGTTTAGGTAGATGCAACCATGGGCTCTGGGTGGAATGCGGCTCCAGGGATGCAATGGCCGTAACACGCAATGCCACCGTCAGCCGAAGGATGGAGAAGGCGAGCGTGATAATCACCTGCTCCTGCAATATGGTTTCAGCTCGGGTGAGAGAGCGAGCGCAAGCAAGCAGAAGGAACACGTAGAAGGTACGAGAAAGCAGGGGACATGGGCATGGGCATGGGCATGGAATGTGGATAGAAATGCTTGCCGTATTCAGACGTAGATAGTGCGGGGAGGGATGTGCTGCTTGCTTGCAGTTGCGACGCTGTGCGACGCTGTGCGACCATGCGAAATAAAGATTAAGCTACCGACGAGGAAATCTTGGCGGATCAGGGGTTCAGATTAAATTGGCGGAACTAACGACAGGATACACTGTCGCAAAAGGTTGCGATTGACAGCAGTGGCTGTGTACGATTGACGGCAAGTGTGGCATTTGCTTGAGCGATGGGTATGGTATGGAGTGGTGCAGTCGGGTTGAGGGGGAAGAACCTGGTGGCTTGCGCTTACGCGTGGCGGCAAACTCCATGGTGGTGGTCACTGACGGATTCAGGGGACACTGTGTCATTATCTCGAGACCCGTGCGGTGACGACGATCCATTCACATTCTCACACTTCATGCGCGCCTGTCATCATCACCATGCCACATTGCCACAAATCCCCTTGCTGTTGGTCCTCGAACCGTCCAATTACAGCTCTCTAGTCGACGTGGCCTTCTTCTCCGGGGACATAACAGCTGTGATTGACATGTGGAATTCTCTGTGACGTGGCCAGCATTCCTTAGCGGACGGTGGACACGCGAGCCTAGAAATTCACGAGTCACGATGAATGTTCAGATATGTTCAGATACACGTCACTGAAATGTACACATTCAATGCGGTTGGGGGAAGGCACACCTTCCCTGCGTGAACAAGACGCAAGCAGGCAGCCACCGAACAAGAATTGCGGGCTCAGTGGGGCAGACACCAGCTCACTACCGCGTACATCGGCCAAAAAACCCGGCTCACTACCAGCTCTCTGCAGAATCAACCACATTTTGAATTAAGGTATTGTCAAGCACATACCGATTAAAACCAGGGTGCACATTCAATTGGGTTTCTGTCAAAGGTTAACCTTTGACCTCGGGGTTACTCAGTGATTTAGGAATATCTGGGGGGAGTGTTCGCTTCAGCAGGTGAACATTTGAACCCTCGAGATTTGGCAAATGTAAACCGAAGTCATCGAATGTGCTTCCGCCAATTCGTTTCCCCCCTCCCCATACCTATTCCGCTCCCACCGAAATTGTTTCCCCTTCCCCCACAATATCGTGTCACCCCCTTTCCCCTTTCCGCCAACCCAGTTGCCCTCCCCTTGATCCCCAATTTCTAGATCCTAGTGTTATCAATTTCTCCCCTGCCAAGCCTCATCTCTCACGGACGAAAAGCCCCATGCTCGCCCATTCTCAACTATTTATTCGCTACTCGTCAACCAATCAGCAGTTCCCGCAAACATGCCGCCCAAAATTTAGCCTGGAGTCGCGTTGAATGTGTACCCTGGTTTTAAGACCAAACATCTCTTAACCACTAGCAGCACAATACAGGTGACCACATATAGAGCGAACGTAAGTTCACCTCTTCAAGGACACAATAATTTACGAAAGGGTAGAAGAAGCATTCAAGCGCCAAAAACATTCGCTTTTCCCCGTCCACCTCATCCGCGCAAGATTAAACCACGCGAGCAAACTGGCTGTGCTCAGGGTGGCGGCGCTTGCGGCCAGCCCTCCAGAGCGCCCAGCCAAAGATCAGGAGAGCGACGAGAATGACAATGAGCCCTCCAATTATCCACCCTGCATTGCTGCTGCTTCCTGCCTCGGAAGCAACCCACTGCGCCAGAGTCTCGTTAGATGACGAACCGGATGTGCTTGGGACCGCGCTCTGGTGGGGAGGAGTTGGAGACGAGCCACGGAAGACACAGAAAATGGTCGGAACCATGACCACATAGAGCAAGGCAAACATGAGCCATAGCATGGAATGACACGGATGACCTGCAAAACACATGGAGAGTAGTGCATGGAGCCATGCTATAAACAAGCAACCACCTGCAGCTCTTCCGGCACGGAGTAGGGGGCAGCAATCTGCTGGCCCTCCGGCAGGGTGACCCCTTCAGGCTGTGGGCCAGGGCGCAAGACGAGCTCAGGCTTCAGAAAGGAGTCCCCACCCGTGTGCTGCCATGGCGCCACATCCTGTGCCCCGCGGGATACATGGGCCCGGTAACAAGTGGGGAGAGGGGGAGAAAGGGGAGGGGAGGAGGGAGTGGGAGATGAGGGACCGAGGGAAGGGGTGAGGGTGGGGAACGAGTGTGAGTGTGAGAGGAGAGAGAAGGCAGGGAGGGGGGAAGAGATAGAGAGTGAAAAGGAAGGAGAGTTGGTAGTATGAAGGCAAGCAAGATGTGGCTTGGGAGTGGGGGGGTGTGAGACAATGTGGCAGAAACTGGCCAATAAGGTGGAATCACAAATGATGGATTCATGCTCTTGTCATGGCTCATACATGCAAGTTCCCAATCCACCCAGGGCGCACGCTTCCCCCCTCCCCCCCCCCCCCCCCCCGCCCCCCTCCCTTCCACACAAGCCACCCACCTTCCAGCCAACGCCAGCAAGGTTGTTGAGGGCGAAGGTGGCGCGCTTGAGGTCCTGGTTGCGGTCGCCCGTGTCAGGGTTAAAGGACACGGGCCCCGTGACGCCCTTGAAGTGGATGCCGTTACCCGTGCGGTTCTTGAACACCTCCAGCACCAGCCGCGGCGTGATGCCCGATTGGCCTGCGGGAGACAAGTGGAGCATGGGGGAGGCGAGGGGGAGGCAAGGGGGTGGCAAGGGGAAGCCGAAGAGAGAGCGACTGATGGAAAAAGGGTTTTCACAGGAGAACAAGGATAGCTGCTTGCTCTTACAGCCAGGACAAAGTGGGGGAGGGTGAGAAACGGGGGAGGACCCTATTGTTCCCAGAGCCCCCACCCTTGCACACAATATCAACTCCAGAAACCTACACCCTCGTTTTCACAACAACCCCACCCAGTCCGCAACCCACACCATCCCATCGCACCCAACTGCACCCCCACAACAATCCCACCCCATCCCTTCCCATCCCATGCCATGCGGTGGCACGCAGCTCGCACGTACGCTGAACAACGAGGATGTCTTCAAAGGCCTTGAAGAAGGCCCAGATGGCGTCGATGAGGTGCAGCACGTACGCGCGCGGCTGCTCAAAGCGCGGCGTCACTGGCAGGGTCAGCAGCCCCGGGTACTCGCTGTGCTGCTGCTGCTGCCAGTACGCTCGGAACTCCTCAAAGGGCGATGCTGCGTCCGTGTCCGCCTTGCCGCCTGCATCAAGCATGCGGGATTACGGAGGTGTGGGAGGGCGGGAATGGGGAAAGGGGAGGGGGTGGCAGGTGGGTAGGGAGGGAAGGGGGAAAAGGTGGAAGGTGGAGAGGGTTGGGGGGGACGGGAAGGAGGGGCAATGGGGCTTAGGGAAATAATTAACTTGCAACAGGGGGTAAGGCGAGCAGGGAAGAGTTGAAGGGAGGTCGAGGATGCACAAGGGAGGGAGGGTGGGATCAAGGAGGAGACTCCATAGACAAGTGGACAGACAGAGGCAAGTGCTGACGGGCTCAGGTGGAATACACACAAGGCAGAAGGGTAGCAAAGGCGAGATGAGGGGCGGGCATGTGCAGAGCAGAGCGTGAGAGGGTGGGTGGGTGGGTGGGAGGGTGGGTGGTGACTCACGGTAGGGGCTGATGCCCAGCTCGCCCTGCAGCGCTGACCCCAGCGGCACTGACGCCTTGTCTGGTGGGCAGGGCAGCGCGCAGAGGGGAGGGGAGCATAGGGCAGTGGCGCAGAAGGGTAAAGGCAGGAGGGGGCAGCGGGCAGAAGGCAGTGGGAGAACGGCAGTGGGGGCATGTTGAAAGGCAATACCAGGGAGCTGAGAGCCATCCTTTGACTCTTGAGACTTGGTGTTATCGAGGTGAGGAACACAAGTGCATGCGAGAGCTCTCTGTGGTTACATGGCGGATGCATGCATGTGTGAGCAATCATATGCATGGCATGAATGGCCATGCATGGCAGTGATACAGCAGAGCTGCACAGTGCACGCGTCCATACCAATGCCCACAAGGTCGAACGTGGTGCCTCCATCAGACACAAGGTACCACCAGGGATAGCCCAGCAGACCCTGCCACAGGCATCAGGGGAATTGCGTGGAAGGAAAGAGCGAAGGGGGGTACGGAGCGAAGGGGGGGATGGGGACTGGGATTTGAGAAGGAAGGAGAGGAGGGTCCTCAGTTTCTGACCAGCAATAAGATGAAGGAGGTCTTTTAAAGATAGAATGACTTGCACAAACAAGCCAGCAGAGACGAGAACGAGCAGACAAAGGGAGGAGGAGAAACGAGCAGGCACAGGAGTAGGAGCACCGCGGGGGGTCAGAGACTGCGGGCAGAGAAGGGAGGGGCATACAGTCTGAGCATCGGGAGAGGGGCAGG